ACTTAGCTCTAGCTTGGGCAGCCCTCCCACAGAATGGCTCTGTCTACTGAGAGGCAAAACACAAGTCCCTTAGAGACTATAATGCAATCCAGTGTGGCAGTACATGCATTAATCCCAGCATTCAAGGAATGATGCAGGAGGACTACAAGCTAAAGACCAGCCTGAGCTATACAGTAGAACCCTGTCTCAACAAAAAAACAATAATCTGTGCTTGTTTCAACTACAACATCCTACCCTAAACACCTCTCTTAGCAGGCTTTCTGGAAGTGTCTTGCTAATTTGCAGTTAGAACAAACACATTCAAGAAAATGATGTTCCCAGCAGGATAGCAATGCTCCATGTGGGGATGAGAATGGCCTTGCATTTTGGTCCAATAACTGATGCTGGGAGCAGCAATACAGCAGAAATGAAGTCAAGTTATTGAACTGAGGACTGTGCTCACCTGCCCCCCAAAAGAGGATGAATGGTCCAGTTCCACTTAGTCGTGTCAATCCATTTCACCCTTCCTAGCATACCCATCAGTTACAGAGCAGGATCATGGACTAACCTAAGGAAGAAAGCCAGAGCAGGGAGTTTATGTAGCTCAGCGGCAAAGTGCTTGTTTCTCTTGTAGGAAACCCTGGGTTCACTTGTAGCACTACAAAAGGAAGAGATTGGAGGTCAGCTTAGTGATGACTACCCCAGAGCTGGCATAGGACAGGTAAGGAGACTCAGAGCAAAGCTGCAATGTCACAGATCAGCAGATATAAGAGTAGTCTAGCTGGCAAAAAAGCCCAGCCCTTTGTTCCTCTGTCCCAGGTGCACAGGAACTATCTAACTATGGGCATAAGACAAGTGCTTGCCACAGCTTAAGTGGGCACACTCTCTGGCATGGAAGCTGTCTGAAGGACAAGGCTTGTAATGAGCCAAGAAGTCAACTGGCCCATGTTCAGTGACTTACAGCATGACTGAGCTCAGGAGTTAGCAGGGACAGGTACAGCAGGGCCCTGGGAGCGCCAAGTGACAGGCTCTTCCCAGATTTCCCAGACTTCAGAGTCTTTGATAAAAAAGGTTTTACTATAATCCCTATTTTACAGAAACAGGCCAAGAGCCAGCTTTGATTTGGCCAAGAGCCACTATTACAGGGGCTGCTAAGACTTGGGAGAGTCCTAACTACCTACCTGTCCACCTCACTGTGAGCACTATGCTTTCTCCATTGTCCTAGAACTATGTAGACCAGGCTACCCTTGAACTCAAGAGATCTGCCTGCCTCTGCCTCCCCAGTACTGGAATTAAAGGTGCATGGCTTAACCCAGCTCCATTTTTAAAAATACCCTCTTGCATCTAACTTTCTTTTCCACCTTTTAAAACACTAAACAATACTTTTTTGAAACTGCTAGTCCTGATATAAAACTAAATATTAACCTTTATCTGTCCTGCCATTCTAACACTGCCAGGTCTTACTGACAAGCTGAATGTTGGCTAATTATATAAGTGCCCTGTTACTGGTCAAGCAAGCATTTCTTTGGTGGACTGGACTCCTGAACCCCAGAGTCAGGTTTCCCATGACACACATCATGGACATAATGCTGCTGCCAGCAGGCAGGGCAAACAGGAGACTGAGGAGATGCGGGAGAGCACTCAGTCAGGCTGAGAGGGAACAGAGCAGGGTGCTTAGCCAGCACCTAGGAGGTCCTGGCTTCAAACCAAGCACCATCACCAAAACCCAAACAAAAATCCCTGTGAACTAAATAAATAAACTTTGGGGCTGGGGAGATGGCTCAGTGGTTAGGAAAATGGACTGCTCTTCCAGAGGACCTGAGTTTAATTCCCAGAACCCCTGTGGTAATCCCCCTGCTTGAGCAAGTACCAGGATTACAGGTGTGAGTCACCACACTGGGCTTGGGCTGGCTACGATAATGATTTTGTTTACCCTACAATGGTTTGGCAATTAGTGCCAGGCAAAATATCAGTAATGTCAAACTGGACCCCACATGAAATTTCACCAATACTTAAGTCCATGCTCAACTCAGAAGCTACAAACTGCACACCATCATTGTATCTGGTCTACCAACAGTTTCTGGGTTTCACTATCTCTTTATACAGAATTAATTAACTGCAAGGTAAATAGCCCAGTGGTTGAAACTGTCAATTTTGGAAGAGAATCCTCTTACATCCTAAGCTGCCAAGTGACTCTAAGCAAAGTAATCATTCTGAATTTGTTTCCTCAACCATAAAATGGGGATAAGGGCACGCTTCTCTTACTGAAAATGAAATAAATTGGCTGGGAGGTGGTGGTGCATGTCTTTAATCCCAGCACTTGGGAGACAGAGGCTGGTGATGGATCTCTGTGAGTTCGAGGCCAGCCTGGCCTACAGAGTTAGTACCAGGACAGCCAGGACTGCTACACAGAAAAACCCTGTCTCAAAAAACGGAAGGGGGGGAAAAAAGAAAATTTAATAAGTTAAATTTATTATTTGAATAAAAAATGGAACTAGAGAGATGGCTAATGGGTAATAGTGCTTGCTGTACATGCATGAGGACCCAAGTTTAGATTCCAACACCCACTTAAAAACTGAGGTAGGCTGGAAGTGGAGGCGCACACCTTTCTTTAATCCTAGCACTTGGGAGGCAGAGGCAGGTGGAGCTGTCAGTTCAAGGCCAGCCTGGTCTACAGAGCAAGTTCCAGGACAGCCAGAGCTATGCAGAGAAACCCTGTCTTGAAATACAAAAAAAAAAAAAAAAAAAAAAAAAAGAATATTTTTTCTTTCTTTGAACAGAGTGACTACCCTAGCAGCTTCCTTTCTGCTGGAAGATCTGCAGGAGGACTCTTAAGTTGCTCCTGCCATGTCTCTGAGCTCTTTTTGTCTTTCTTAAAGGGGGGGACGCTCTCTCTCTCTCCAGATCCTTCTCATTTGGTCTAAAGACTTGCAGAAAGCAGCTTCTGCTTCAGTACTACTGAGAAACTGTGCCAGACCAGAGACCCCAGAGAACAAGGAAAACTTGCAGACTTTGGAGAGCTGCCAAGGCCAACAGAATACCAGGAGATGAGATTCTGTAGGAGAGTTCCAGGGGGAGACATCACACTGCAGCTGCTCTGCCCCATGGGGCTGTGGCCAATTCAGGTGCCAGGAAGAAGGCTAAGGAAGTGCCACACAGCCTGGCACAGGACCAGAAGCACTAATGACAATAGAGAACCCTGCAGACCTTGTGACAGCATCTCAGGTCCAAAGAGACAAAAGAGGACAGCAGGCTCAGCAGAAGTGCTTGAGGGGCACAGCCTAGGTACCAGGGGAGGGGCCAAGAAAGCATCCAGCTCTCTGTTGGCACTTGTAGGGTGCCACCAAACAGGCCCAAAAGGAACCTGACAAAACCTCACCCAGGGGTCAGCTCAGCTGCTGTCAGTAAGCTTCCCATTCTTTTTAGTTTATGTGCATTGGTGTAAAGGTGTCAGATCCGCTGGAACTGGAGTTACAGATAGATGTGGGTGCTGGGAACTGAACCCAGGTCTTTGAAAGAGCAGCCAGTGCTCTTAACCACTGAGCCATCTCTCTAGCCTTCCAGCTTTCCATTCTCATAACAAAATACTTTAGATGATTAGTTGATAAAAAAGAGAAATGATTCATCTAAAAAGAAGTTAAGGCAAGGGAGTTTAATGTTCTAGACCAGCCTGTCTATGTAGCAAGACCCTGCCTCAAACAAACAATGCTGGTGAGATGAATCGGCTGGTAAAGACCCTTGCTACCAAAGGCATCATAATGGCCTGAATTCAATCCCTGGAATTCATACAATTGAAGGACAGAACCCACTCCAGTAAATGTCCTCTGACCTCTGCACTTGTGGCATAGCATGTCTATGTCTGTACACACAAACTAACTGAAAATTAATGTTAAAGGAGCATGACACTAGTGACATACCTATTAACAGGGTGCCTGGCTAGCATGATTATGAGGCCCTGAATTCTATCTATAGAACTGAATAAACTGGGCGTGGTGACAGCACAGAGCAGGTGGAGGCAGGAGGACCAGGCATTAAAAGTTATCCTCCTGGCTGGAGTAATGGCCCAGTACTTAGGAGCAATTGTTGATCTTACAGAGGACCTGAGTTTGCTTCCAAGCGCTTACATCAGGAGGCTCAAAACCACCTGTGCTTCCAGGAACAACACCCTCTTCTAGCCTCTGTGGGTACCCATGCACACATGACTTCACTTGAATACACATATATAAAAAAAGCTATCCTTGGCTACATAGTAAGGTTGAGGCCATTTTGGGATATATGAGATAAACACACACTGAAAATAATCTAGACTTCAAACTGAAATTAGAAGTACATGAATTTACTTTAATATTAGATATACAGGGAAAAAGATGAATTATTGAATTAGAAGACAAATTCACAGAAATATCAGACTGGAGTAAAGAGGAAAACAGAAAACTGACATTGGCCAGCCAGTTTCTCAGTAAGCAGCTTTCCCTCTCCTCCTGCTACACACAGATGACCATGAGTACTGCACAGTCGGAAGAACTTGTGCTCCTTGGTCACCAGCATGGCTTATCAGTGAAATAACTCTTGAACTCAGTCTGTGAGATGAACAGAGTTCCTTCCTTAGCTCCCCCTCTGTGCCCCAAAGCTGGACACACACCTTCCCCTCCACCTTGAAGACACTAACTGCTAACACTGGAACCAATACTCAGCAAGGCGGAAAGAATCTAGTTTTCTCTAAATGGCCAAATGGAATCTTTGGGTGGAGAGCACAGAACACTGTTTCTGCTGTGACAGTCACTGCAACCAGTTCCTTCAACATAACCTGCAGACTGGGTGTGGACTTGGACTCTTACGTAATAGACAGCAGATAAGAGCTGGCAAGGATCTGTATGATTTGCTGTCCCAGCAGGAATTCCTTGAAGATTGGGTAATTTATTCTGCTTTTCACTCTTTAAACAATATATAGATAGGAAACATGAGTCATTCTGATAAAAACAATGGTCACAGAAAAGAGATATTACCATGCTGTCACGTACATAGAGAAGCTGAAGCTGACCTCTATGGGATCCTGATCTCCAGATGTGAAATGGAGTGCTGAACAGGATGGCTGACAAGCTGGAGAGGAAAATGACTTTGTAGCAGCACAGTCAACACGGGACAAAGCTTAATTACAGCCCTGGAAAATTACACGCATACATGTTCAATAACTATGTAACAATGGCAGATAACAGTTAACTACCTCAAAATACAGATGATTTTTAATGTTTCCAACATAATAGATGATGGAGGCAACAGATAGGCCAATTATATGCCAGCCATATACTGTATATACATTTTAAGGAGCCATACTGGAGCCAGACCTGTGATGCACACCTGTAATCCCATCAACTGTGGAGCAGGCAGGATGAGCATAAGTTTGGGGCCAACCTGGGTTGCATAATGAATTCTGGGCCAGCCTAAGTCACAAAGTAGAACCTTGTTATAAAACAATACAATAACTGTAGGGGCTGAAGATGGCTCAGTGGTTAAAAGGACTTACTATTCTTGCAATGAGCCAAAATTCAATTGGCAGCACCAACACTGAGCATCTCATAACTACCTGAAACTTCAGCTCCATGGAGATCAGACACCTCTGGCCTCCATGGGTACCAGCACACAAACAGATACATACACATACTTACAAAACAAAATAAATTTTGTAACGAAAAAGAGATGGGTAGTGGTGGCACATGCCTTTAATCCCAGCAGAGGCAGGATGATCTCTCAGTTCAAAGCCAACCTGGTCTACAGGAGTTCCAGGACAGCCAGGGCTACATAGAGAAACCCTAAAAACAAAACAAAACAAAACAAAACAAAACTCCTAAAAAGAAATGTTGTCACTTCTGTAGCAGGCCTTCCTGGACCGACAGTCCCCAAATTGTGTCATGGAGACTTATTATTAATTATGAATGCTTGGCCTTAGCTAGCTTTTTTTTAACTTAAATTAACCCATTTACATTAATCTACTGCTGCCCCAAGGCTCATTTACCTCATCTATGTACTGTCCATCCTGCTTTCCTGCTTCCTTGTGGTTTTTCTCTGCCAGACAGTCCCATCCATCCCTCCACTGCCTCGATATTGGCAGTTCAGCTTTTTATGAGACCAACAGCAACACATCTCTGCACAGTTAAGCGAAAAGTCTATCCCACAACACAACCTCCCACAGACACAAGCACACCACAGAGCTGCTCTTCCCTTAGAGCACTGCCAGTCAGTAGTCTCTGCCGCCAACTACACACTGACACTTCTACTCAGTACAGACTGTGTGTAGAATACAACAACTATGGTTTGGAAGAACTAGGACACCCTCAAGCAGCTCACAAACACCTGCAAGTGTTCCAGGAGACCCGATGCCCTCTCTGCCCTCCTCAGGCACCAGACACACATGTACAGCCCTCCCCCAACACACAATTTTAAGTAAAAATAAGCTTTTTTTAAAATTTGCATACCAAAATAAAAGGCCAAAAAGAGCATCAAAATGTTAGTGTGTATTATCTCAGGGTCAGAATTCAGGCGGGGTTTTGTTTGAGCTTTGCTTTGTTTCCAAGATTTTACAGCAGATACATTATTTATTTTAAAAATTACCTTTATAGCCGGGTGTTGGTGGCGCACACCTTTAATCCCAGCACTTGGGAGGCAGAGGCAGGCGGATCTCTGTTGAGTTCGAGGCCAGCCTGGTCTACAGAGTGAGTTTCAGGACAGCCTCCAAAACAATACAGAGAAACCCTGTCTGGAAAAACCAAAAAAAAATTACCTTTATTTGTTGTATATGTTGGGGGGCACATATATACTATAGCAAGTGTGTGAAGATCAAAGGACAACTTTTGGGAGCCATTTTCCATGTATTATATGGTTAGGTCCCAGGACCAAACTCAGATTGTCAGATATATATATATATGTATATATATATATTGCTTTTTAAATAATTCTGCCAAATCAGGATTCATCCTACCTTTTTCTTTTTTTTTAATATTTTATTTATTTATTGTGCATACAGTCTTCTGCCTGCATGCCAGCAGAGGGCACCAAATCTCATTCAAGGTGGTTGTGAGCCACCATGTGGTTACTGGGAATTGAACTCAGTACCTCTGGAAGAACAGTCAGTGCTCTTAACTGCTGAGCCATCTCTCCAGCCCCGAATATATTGTTTTTTAATCCAAAATAACTAACAGCTACTTAGGGGGAGGGTAGTAGCGGTCATCGGTTGACCTGAAATAACCACTATGTGAACAATTTTAGTACCCTCATCTTACAGGTACATCCATGTCCTTGCTACCTAATTTATCTTTGTACAACCAGGTTCCCCCAGCAACAAACTTGTAGGCACTGGCTCTGCTTGGTGACCTGGACAGTGTTAGCCTGTTTAAAGTTGTACCTACTACAGTTTTGCTTTCTGTCTTCAGTGTTCTAACCTGCCAAGCTTTCCTTTACTTACTCACTCAAGTCTGAATCCTATAATTAACAGGTATGTCCAGTGTGCTGCTCCTGTCCTGTGACCACACTATTATACAAAGCACTGCTTGGAAAGATGGCTAAATCTATGCATATCTCCAACATTTCACCTCCAGTACTCTCAAATGAGCATCCACTTCAGACTATTGTGACTTCAGATCCACTGGCTTACTCTCTGTATGTGAACCCACCAGAGACTATGTCTAAAATCCTAACTGCCACTAGGTAGAGTCTAAGTGGGAGTGGCAGTCCTTACTGAAAACTCTCACCACTGAGGACTTCACTAAGCACTTCCCTGTCGCTATAAAGTGTTACCTCTTCTCATGAGGCAACAGCAGAGATTCACTTTGCCTAAAGCCACAAAGCCAGTCAATTGCAGGAACACAGACGGTTGCTGGCTCTAAGGTCAAGGCAGGGGTGAGTGGGTTTCTCTTTGTATCAGAGCACAACATAGTTGTACTGTTTGCTAAGTATCCTACAGCCTGCATGGACCACTTTTTATACCTTGGCCATTAGGGGCCTGGGAACTGAGTGAAAATGGCCTTACTATTCTCATGCTTAGATTAGACATCATTAAATGACCTGGAAGCCTGCCTCTGAAGCCTGGTGGTAGTAGTGTACACTTTTAATCCCAGTATTTGGAAGTCAGAGGCAGGTTGATCTCTAAATTCAAGGTTAGCTTGGTCTACAGAGCAAGTTCCAGGACAGCTAGGGCTACACAGAGAAACCTGTCTCAAAAAATATGAATGAATGAATGAATGAATGGTAGGAAGAAAGGTAGAAAGGAAGGAAGGAAAAGAAAGAAAGAAAGAAAGAAAGAAAGAAAGAAAGAAAGAAAGAAAGAGGGAGGAAGGGAGGGATGGAGGGAGGAAGGGAAGGAGGGAGGGAGCCTGGCTTGGGCATAGCTCTGAGGGAAGCTCCTAATGTTTGCCAGGCCCAGCACACACATAGCAAATGTCTGGGTGGCTGCTGATGGTGCCATGCCTAAGCTCCTGTGGCACGAGGTAGGCGATGACAGTTAAAAGGTGCTGCAAACAGGGTAGCAGGGCCAGGTTGAGGCAGTGCAGGCGGCAGCTTTGCATGAAGACACCCGTACATACAAGGAACCCCCACCCCCAGACAGCCACTTCCCCATGGACTGCCAAAAGGGGAATTCCTGAAGGGAAGGAGGGCGCAAAAGTCATCAATCCTGAAAAATACCTCACAACTACACGGTGGTTTATAAGGCAGTGACAGAATGGAGCTGGAGACACCACGTGGGCCTGCAGCTATCAGAGCTCTTACAGAGCAAGCCAGGGAGGGAAGTGTGCCGGAAGACTCGTTTTCAGCTGTTTCCAGAGAAGTTAGGAAGTTCTGCTCCTCACTTCAAAGCCCCTTTCTCTGCACAGGAAGTGGGCCTGGATGGGCAGCACAGGGCCTAGATGGGCCCCTAATGCAGCTCAGGCTTATTTAGAAGGCACAGCAAGTCAGTGCCAGAGCCCCACACAGCAGCATCCGCTTTTGTTTTTCCAACTACAACTTTCTACATCAAAAGGCTCAAACCCAGTGATGAAAGAACTACACTGGGCTAACATCCGGTTCAGTCTCATCAATGGAGACTTCTGCGGTGGGCCCAACCTATGGGCTTCTGTGACAGCTCTACCCAAAGGAAATCAGGTGACTCTGATGAGGAAAATTCTCCAACCTCTAGGCTGCTAGGTTGGAGGCACCTGTATCTCACAGGCTGACAAATGCAAATCCTCAGGGAGGGCCCTCACACCAAGCATGCACTTGGAGGCAGACTAACAAGGGAACAGAGAGAGACCACAAAGCAGCCTAAGGACAAACAAGATGGGCTTCTCACCCAGCAGGAGACTCAATGAAATGACATGTTACCTCAGGGTAACTAAAAGTGTGCAGTTCACAGGAAACAACAAAAAACATCCAGGACAGGGAGAGACACAGAAAAGAGAATACAAGAACCTCAAGTATGGTCACAGTGGCATGTACCTCACACTCACACTCAGAAGACGCTGAGGCAGAAGGAGGAACATTTGGGCTCAGGAACTGGAGACACTCTGGGGAAATACAGAGGTCCTGTCACCAGAGCAGAGTGCTCATTTCAAGCAAGACTAGTTATGGTGACACACACCTGTAATGCCAGCTGCTGGGAGGTGGAGGCAGGTAAAAAGCATTGAATTTGAGGCCAGCTTGAGCTACAGAGCCAACCTGTACTACCATAGTAAGAATTGATTTCAGAAAACAAAACAAAAGAGAGGGGAAAAGCACTCTAGAGGCAAAGGCAGATGGATATCTGAATTTGAGGCCAGCTTGGTCTATAGTGTGATTTCCAAGACAGCCAGGATTACACAGTGAAACCATGTCTTGAAAAAACGTGTGTCTCTGTGTGTGTGTGTGTGTGTGTGTGAGAGAGAGAGGGGGGGGCACTTGGCATACACCTCTATACTGAGAAGAGGAGAAACAAATTTCAGACAGGTGAAAAGGGCACCCAAGAAAGTGGCCAGCTTCCTGGGGGTGCTGGAGTATGAACAGGGTGAAGAAAGACCAACAGGGAGATGAGTATGCTTGGGGTATCTCTCAGGACACCAGGGTGCAACAGCAAGGACACCAAAGCTACAGAGAAACCCTGTCTCGGAAAAAAAAACAAACAAGCAAAAAAAAAGGGGGGTGGGAAAAGAAAGCATCTCTAACCTCAAGCCTGTCATCTCCAACAACTGAGAAGCATGGGGATATCCAGAGTGACTGAGAGAATGGGACAGCCACCACCCTAGAAGGTCTACCCTAATTGAACTTTATTCCTGCAGCCACAGAACAGGGACAAGCAGGCCACCATGCCCACAGTGGTGTAGGACAAGAGAAAGGAAATGCAGGCAGCACAGAGCACTGGCCCTTGGGTTCCAGCTCAAAACAACAGAACCCAAGCAACAGCATGACTCATCTCCAGACAGCTTCCTAATCCCTGAAAGGGCCCCTGCTCAGACGACCAAATCGCACAACGGATCACCAGGCCCACACAAGTTCTCTGTTTTGTTGAACCAACCAAAGAAGGAGATAAACTGTTAAACTTGCACACTGAATCAACCCAAGTATCACACCATCAGTGGAATAAGAGAGTCTCCTTAACTT